AAACCCTTCTCTTCCCCTTAATCGGGCAGGCTGAAAAAGAAAATTTGACATTGCTAAAGTTCTTCTTGAATGGAATAAACAAACAAACAAACAAATAATAGATAGATAGATAGATAAGAGTGAGAAAAAAATTTGCCTGGGGGTACCAGGGATTGAACTCATGACATAGCACTTGCTAGGCAGGTGCTCATGCCACTGAGCTAAATCCCAGCCCCTGAGTGAGGAATTTTTACTTCTTTTGTTATGACTTACTTTGTCTGAGCAGCACCTAAGGCAGTGGTTTCTCTTGTATTCGAAAAGCCACGTATACATACATTAAAAAGCAAAGTAACAATCAAAAGTTTAAAAAAAAAGGAGATAGATCTTCTGCAAATTGGAAGAAGATAACAATGGAAAGAAGGGAGCAGGGTGAGAAAGATGACCTAAAAAGAATTAAGATTCGTTATACACCAATTCAGATGTAATAATTACGAACTGAGAACATGTACTGATACAAATAAATTTACAAAAACAGCAACAGTACATCACCAAAAGTTTAATGAAGTCCCCGCTACAACTCTCAATGTGATAAAGACTGTACAAGAAACAGCACAAGGGCAACAGCCTGCAGGGCACTGAAGCATCGTGACAGACTTATTGGGAGGCTTCTTTTCAGCACCATGGGGTCTGGTCAGGCACAGACTACACAGTTATAGAACAATGTACGTGCAAACTTTTTCCTCATGTGAGTATCTGAATTGATAGCCACCTTATCATAATGAAATGGGACAAGTTTTGAATTTGCTGGCCAATAAGAATCATTCTCCACACTACATCCATGATAGCACGCTGACTGCTTTTGGAGTATGACACACAGGGCAAGTTACACGGTTGCTCCAAGTGACCTGTAGAAATGGACTGATTAGAATTCAAGCCTCGGTTCACTTGGTGGAATTTGGGTAAATTATTTGGGATAAAGCAAACAGAATCGTCCCTCGAAATTTGAGATGCAAGTTATCGTGTGCTTACTGCCACTGAAGAATACACTTGGAGCTTTGGTGGACTATTTGCACAGATCCTATTAACCCATCTAGGAATATTGTTGAACTTGTTTGACTAAGAAGCCCCAACTCTAAGCTCTGGATTGTAGTTAGAATATTCAGACTAATGCTTTGAACTTTTGTAGTAGACACTTTGAGACAGAAAGTATATTCTTTGATTTTTCTTTTTGCTTTCTATGTACAGAAGATACGAGAAAATAAAAATGCTCCACCATTCAGAACAAGAAAGACTGAATTCTTTTCATTAGTTATACTCCAGGAATTAGCCTTATTTCCATGCAATTGAGGGTAGTCGAGTAAAGCTGAGCTATTGCCTGGCGAAAGAGACACAGGGAGCCCCCAAGGGCTTCTCTCGTTTGTGCGGTAGAACTGGGCTCAGTACAGGGAACCTTAGACTCCACCCTAGCTCAGAGAATGATGCCACAGAGATTCACACGCACGGTGTCTGACAGTGCCCTTACCCTTAGCATGATCCTAGGCAAAAAGCTGCAATGTGCTGGCTATGCTTTTAATACGTTGTGACATTTTTAAATATAAGACTAAATACTCTGGGATTAATATGCTGAGGAAAAAAATCCTACCAATTCCTGATTTTACAAGCACACACTGAAGAAGGAAAAGTGAACTATATAAAAGATCAAAGGCCACTGTTACCTAAATACAAGACTAAAGACAAGAGCAATATATAGAGATTGCAGGCTCAATGTGTGATCATACGCCCCACGCATTTTAAGGGCTGTGAACGAATATCTGGTTTCTTCTTGTTCTTCCTTTTTTTCTTTCCAAGTCATATAGCAAATAGATAGCACTAACAAAGTCAAATATTAATAACCAAGAACTACAGATCCTCAAATCCCCTTTCCCCCAACCAGCAAAACCCATAGAAATTTACACTGACCAAAGTAAATAGAAAATAAAAGTCAAACCACTTAAATGGTTGACATTTAGGGATAGAGCCAGGCACTAGCTTTCATGCTTCTGAATCACCAGTGTTATAACATTAACAGAAAATAACTGATATTATGAACATGCTGCAAGAATTAGAGGTAAGATCCAACCTGCAGTAGTTTAATTGATGATTGCTTGTAATCAACACAATTTTCAATTTCACCTTAACAGAAAAGAACAAAAATGTGAGCATCAAAGCAGCTTTTAAAAATTTTTGTCTTCTAAACAGGAAATAATTGTTTAAAATAGCACAAAGTCATGAGCATATTGACTATAGCCTAAATTAGTTCTGAAATACACTTACTGGTTATAGCATATCTAACTTATAGAACATCTAATTTAGGATATTTCTCTCTCTTTCTCTTGTATGTGGTGCTTTGGGTACATAAGTTTGCAGAAGAAATCCTGAGAAATGATTAATTTCAGATAAGTGTGATTTTTAACATACTAAATTGTTACAGTGTAGAGCAAAGCTGGTCACTGTGTGGTGAACGTTCATGACAGATGACCAGAGCTGAGTGTGCGGTGACTGTTGCCTGTAAATGTTGGCTTCGGCTTCCAGCTTCACCTTCTATGATACTGTGCAAGTGATGCTTATTAAAGAAACAGTCATCTTCCCTAGTCAGGGAGTACATGGCATGATGATGTTTGTGACTGGATGACTATTGCCCTTCAGACAAAGGACTTATATCTAGAAATTTCTATATCTTATAAAGGATTGAAAAAATTTAAATGTCCCAAATTCAAAGCCCCAATCTAAAAATGGGCATCTGAGATGAATATATATACTTCTCAGATGAAGAAATACAAATGACCAGTAAATACATCAAAAAATGGTCAACATTATTGGTCATTCAAGAGATGCAAATTAAAACAATACTGAGATTCCATCTCACCCCAGAAGGAATGGCTATCATAAAAAAATCAGCTAATAATAAATTCTGGAGGTTTTTTTGGGGGGAGAAATCTTTCTTCACTGTTTGTGGGAGTGTAGACTAGTGCAATCATTGTGGAAATCAGTAGAAATTCCTCAAAGAACTAGAATTATAGATCCTATCAGCTCAGCTATTCCCCTTTTGGGTATCTTCCCAGAAGAAATGAAAATATCATGCAATAATACTATATGTACATTGATGCTGATAGCAGCACAAATCAAAATGAAATCTTGTAAACAGCCCAAATGCCCATCAACCGAGGAATGGATTAAAAAAAGTTTTCATTTAATGTGATAGAATACTATTCAGTCACAAAGAAGGATAAACTGGAGGCTTTTGCAGATAAATGAATTCAACTCAAGACCATACAAATAAGTGAAATAAATCAGATGCATATGTATAAACATCACATAGTCTCACTAGTATGAGAAACTGAATGGGTAAATAAGATCCAAAATGTACATTAGATAATGTGAATTGGGATGAAACTGTTCAAATAAAAGACAGATTGTGATGGGAGAAAGGGGAAAGGAAGTGGAAAAGAAAAATATATTCACACATGATATAGTTAAGATAGTTATACAGTTAGTTTTTCTTAGCTCATTGAAAGGATAGGTTTGTACTAACATTGTTCGGATAAGGTATGATACCTATATATTATACTCTGAATAACTACTATAAAGATAACAATACCCAATGTATTGATTATTGTAATGCTTCTACTAACCTGTTTTGAAACTGTACTTTATTATGATTTTTATTTTTTCTCTTTAAAATAAAAAAAGAATGTCAAAAAAAAAAAAAAAAGGCTAGAGGAACAAAACCCTGAAGCTAACTGTTCAGAATTATGTTCTTTGGAGGAAGAGAGGGCCCAGTCCTTCATTAATTGAAACTCTCCCATTGTCTGCTGGGGCCACACCAGAGTGGCCAGCCTTGCCCTTTGTTTCAGACATAATGTGCTGTTCTGTTCACTTCTACCATGAGATCTTTGATGCACTATTAACGGTTTACCAGAAACTCCAAAGAAAGCTGCTTATCTAATACTTAGAGACCCAGAGAATGCTGAAAGACAACTACCCTCTCAAGGAGAAGGGGAGACTGTATAGGAAATCCTTAATTGTGAATCATTGGTTATAGACAATAAAAATCCTGACATGCCAAAGAAATCTTAAATGTGGGACAAATTCATTTTTGTATGTTTCTTGTTAGAATAACTAAATTCACTTGATATCGTTATTGTTTAACTAAAAATGTTAGCTGATGAGCGTGATGTTTTAGTTGTGATATTGGCATTAAAATTCTTGAAGTAGTATACAAGTTACATATCCTGTGTCTCCTCAATCACCATCATCGGAGAAACAAGGAAGCAGACAGGAGGAAAACTAAACCATTAAAGGAAACAAACGAAGAAAGATAAAAATATTTGAAAATGTATGTTTGACATTAGTCTAGGCACTATGTATATTTCTATTTGTTTTCTCATTGCTGTTTAGGCTCTGACAGTAATAATATAAATTATTGTTATATTTATTTTATACTTAAAGGCAGTGCAATTTACAGAAATGAAGAAAGTTGTGGAAGTTCATTAATAACAGTTCCTGTTTGACTTACAGGAGGAGTTTAGCTTCTTACACCCTTTGGAAGGAGTCACTGGTTTCAGGTTTGGAGACAAAAGCTCTATAGGCAGCTGAAAAAACTCTGTGAGAGAAGATATAAGATTCAAGCACAGGCATTTCGAAATTGTATCCAGACACAGTTTAAAATAAACTGCAAACGCATCATTTACACTGCCAGATATTAAGGCAAGTTAAAAATCACCCAGAGTAAAGAGCACATTTTCAAAGTATTTGAAGAAACTTCGCGAAAGGTGATTTCACAACAAAACTGTAGATGTGAAAACTTTCGCTGTCCCTTGAGCACAAATGTTGCTGTCACCCAACGTCTAGCCTGAGACAATCTCATAATACTAAACACTTGAAAAATAGATCCTTTTATGGAGAGAACGGTGCATTTCTTTTGTGTTTTCCCTTTTGCATAATAGCAAACTGAATAGCAAACAATATTTTTTTTCTTTCAGAGAATATAGTATATACAAGAAAATGACTACATGTTTACCTGAAATTAATCTAAATCCGAAGGAACAGGTTCACAAGTAAGTAAACAGTGTTGAATATAAATCTCCATTTCTTTAGAAACATTTTCTTTCTGGATTCTTCAGTAAATGTTTGATCAAAGTGTGTCCTTGAAAATGCACACATTCCTCCCACTAAAGTCACGAACATACATACACATTTCTGGGACCAAATTTGGCCCGATGCTTAATTAGAGTCTGGCTGTGATTACATCTGTGCTGTTGAATTTTCAAATCTAAATTTTCAGTGTTGTAACAAAACTTTGCAAAATTTCTTTAATTTGAGTGCGGGAAAATAACATAAAAATTTCAGTGACAGTGAGAAAATGTTTTTCCTTCATCTGAAAGTAATTTCTCTCAAATTCAAAACAGAAGAAAAGTGGTTTAAATGCATATTGAAATACTAAAAATAAATAAGCACCGGTCTCTTGAATTTGTCTTTTATGCTGAGAGATTGTTAAGTAACACTGGTTGGGCGATGGATATGCTTTTTTGTCTCTCTCCCGTCTTAGGAATGGAGGGGTATTTTCCTTTTTCGTCTCCTTTTCTCTATGTTTCTTTCTCCTACTTCATTAATCATTCACAAGAAGCTGGCTTGTAAGTACAATTCAATTCTTGTGAGACAGCTAAACATGTCTTTCCCCGCGCCCTTCCTGGCCCCTCTGCCTGTGTACCTCACACATCACTTACAAAGCCAGGCTGAAAATTGTCTCTCTTAGGAGGAGTATACATTATCGTTAAAGAGCATTTATTTATATATTTCACCATGGTTTGTCATTTGTTCTAGGAGCTTCCCTTAAAGTCTCACTGCAAACTGAATTTGAACTGAAAAAAAGAATCAGGAAATACATGTTATAAAAACTTTCCTAAGTTTAGGTTTTATATCTGTTCTTCATGGTTCAATTTAGTCCCTGTTTGCAAAAGCAAATGGCTTGGTGATAATGTATGTTATATTTCAATCCTTTGTTTAAAGTCACCTTACTCACTGAAGCTAGCTCTTTAGTATGAATGGCATTTGCAAACAGAAACTTAGAATTAACATATATTCCAATTGCCTAGCCTAAAAATTATTTTTGAATCAATAACACTGGACAACTTAATTTCACCATGAGTAATCATCTCTTTTTTATATTAAATATTATATGCCATGATTTGGAATCAAGTGCCTCAATGATATTTTTTGATGTTCAAAAAATGGTTTTGAGACTTCTCATCACCTGAAGGTTACTTTATAGCCCAAGGCAGTATCCTCACAATACTTTCGAGGCTGACAGGAAAGAGGAAAAAAAGTCTTTCAACTGGTTGTTGTGTATCTCAAAGTAAGAACATTATCTTTGGCTCTCTTGTATCCATTTATTTTTCATAACTTTTTTGTTAGCAATTGTACATTTCTTAGAAACTGGAGTTAACCAATTTTACATACAATAATCTGGCTCAGGAGAGTTTGATAGCAATGATGAGTATTTAGGAGACTACTTACTTTTTGAGAAAATCTTAGACTTACAGAGACCTTAACTATGAAGGATGTCCATAGAATTTTGAAAAGAGGAAAAAGATTTTATATTCAGGGAACCTGTCTTAATAATCTAAGGTTATAGGATATTTCTTATGTCCTGTGATCCTACATTATATTAGTAGGGATCAAGATGTATTATTTGTTTCAAATGTTGTAACTTTTTCTCAATGAAAACAAAATATATTTTCCTGTGATGTGATATTGAGTTTTATAACAGCAGGAAAATCTTTCCAATATTCTGTAATTAATGGCATAGACGTCAAGTGACATGATCAAGAGCTATAACTTAAGTGAACATATATTATTTCTAAGTTAATATGACTGGAAATCAGTATGTCTGAATCCTGTTACACAGAAGAACCAGGAAAAAATAATTACTTCTATTACAAGACTCCAAAATCTTTTTATAGACTATAATCAGTGATATGATTTACTCCTAAATTGCCACTCTGGGACAGGGAACATTGATAAAAATTCTAATCTTTATTGCAATAAATGATTCCACTGACCCTTCGCTGCTATGGGCTTTCTATCATTGTATTCACTGAATTATCCCCATTCTTTCTCCTGCCATATAACCAAATCACTTGCTTCTGAAAATAAAGAAAGCAGCATCACATTTGCACACACACACACACACACACACACACACACACACATACACACACACACACACACACATGCACACACATGCATGTGTTCCAAATATATACACAGTTCAAGTCTCAAAATCAAAAAGGAAAATGCATAGATTTAGAATGGAGTAAAACAGAAATATAAAATATTACAGCAGATACATTCAATTGCTTCTATTTGTAGCTGAATCAAATTCAAAAGTTCATTTAGAGCCGTTGATGCATGTTAGGATTATTAATAAATGACACCAACAAGCCAAAAATAAGTGTTTTCCTACTTTGTAATTATTTAATGATAAAATTAGATTCTGTATAGTTCTTAAGGAATGTGATCCACTGTTTAAGTCTTTAAGATGTTAGTTTCTATTCATATGAGTAACTCTCAAGGTGATAATATTTCCTTGTAAATTAAAAAAATGTTATTTGAAAGAACTGTGTGTGTGTGTGTGTGTGTGTGTTTGAGTAAACTGAATTCAGTCTTCCATGGATTCTCAAACTGCAAAAAAGTGTTAAATTTTGCTTCTAGATGTTGAAAACTTAGATAGCATTAAGAAGAATTTAACAAGCTCATTTTATTATGTATAGAACTTCAAAAAATGAAAAGAAAAACAAAACGCCCAAATCTTTCATTTTTAATCTGTTACAATCTAATAGCAAATTTGGAAAGTGATGAGCAGACAAATTACCACATATTGTGGAAAGTATTATAGTCGTAATGTTACTAACTTTAGTGGCAGCACATGAATGGAGTTGGGAGTTATGGAAATGTTTTGGTAAGACATTCCAATGATTATTATACTTAAAAATGTCAAAACAAGTGAGAGTGAGTACTTTTTTTGTACATGAGGGTGAGACCTAAATTAATATGTGTTGAAAACTGTCTTGTCACCTTATACCCTACCTGAATGCTATATGTACTCAATCAAAGCAACCTACATCAAATTTCCAATTTACTCGTAATATCCTAAAAAATAACTTTGAAAAAAGGGGAAGTTGAGGTTCACAGTGAGTGATCTAGCTGAGAAATAATATGTTTTGGATGTATGTAATAATTTTAGAAGAGGAAAGATGTGGTCAGGGCTGGAGCACATTTTAGAGATCAAAATGAAAAAAGCTTGAAGGTAGGTTGGAGGTTTAAGGAAAAGAAATAATGGAAAGAAAAAATGAAAAATAACTTTTAAGAAAGTTTGGTAGTATTACAAAACTGATAAAAACAGAAGAAACAAATATTGTAAGCGATTTAAAGGTTAAAAGTCATTGTGAGCCATGTAAATTTTAATATGTGTGTGGGATGTCCACAGAGCCATATCAAAGCAGGCCTTGATGAATGAGTCGGAGAGGAATCAAGCCCAAAGACATAGCTTTGGAAAGCACTGCATAGATGTCATCCAAAACATGGGGCTCAGAGTATTTGAAAAAATGTACAAATACAAAGAGGACATGATGCAATTCAAACAAAGCTAAAAAATCAAATATAAGCTTCTTTATAATTCTTTGTAGAAAAGCTTAATTGCATTTTTGAGCATTTTTGCAACTACTGTGTGGGAGATTAAAAATGGTCACCTTGTAACCCAGCTGAACTGAATCAGCACATTGCTGCATATGGAAGACCCACCAGAGGGTAGCCAAGAGCATACAAAGAGAACTAGAGGATAAAAGTGAGCGCTATTGACTCTCCTGGAGAAGTATGCCATGCTGGGAGGAGCTTGCTCAGGTCCTTGCTGTTGCTGATGATGGCTGTGGTTCCTTTTGTGGGGAACTCTGGCCTTGAGTTTCCCTTCCTGGCTCCAGTGCAGATCCCTTGCTCCCTGACACAGATGATTCATCCTGCTAGCACAGACTTTGTAACTTCCACCAATGACCTTTGGGCTTTCCCAGTGCAGGTCCTTGGCACAGACTTGCATGAGACACTGTTGTGGGCTCTAGGCCTCCACTTGGATTCATGTGGGACATTGCCATGGGATCCAGGCCCTCAGCTCGATTCTTTGGGTCTCTAGCGTGTGGACAGATCTCTCATACTCTTTTGCATTTGACATTTTGAATGAATATTTTAGAATAATCCTATTAATTATGTGTTCTGTATTAAACCTTTTCCCTTGTCAAGGTTGACTACCACACTTTCCTTATAGGACCATGTATATTAAACATTCAACACAAAATCTTTTTGAAATACTACTAGGAAACACTATATAATGACAATTTTGTAACCATATAGTTATATTATATAGATAGATAGATTGATTGATAGATATGTATTTCAAACACATATATATGTTTCTCCATATCATCTGTAGATGACTGAAGGACTGGTTCTAGGACCCCCACCATGGGTACTAAAACTTATAGATAAACAAATTCTGTATATTAAATATCTTAGTAATTCCATGTGATCTATTGGCATACTCATACATAATTTAAATTATCTTGAATTACTTATAACATCTAACATAATGTAAATGCTATGTAAATACTTGTTACACCTTACTTTTTAGGAGCTAATAATAGGGAAAATGTCTGTTCTTGTTCAGTACAGATACATCTGTACACGCCTAACTAAATAAAACATGAACAACTGTCAAGCTGAAGACAATACTCAACAACGAGTGCTGAAGAAAAATCAAGGAGCTGAGAATTGGCCTAAGATATGCATAGGTTGTATGCACATCATTGTTTTCCCCTGAGTGTAGTCTAGTTCTTGACAAGTAGCTAATTCAAGTTTTGTATTTTTGATTGGGCATATGTTGAATCTATGGCTACCAAACTGTGGATATAAAAAGCCAAATATGCAAAGGCAAGTTGAGTAATTTAAATTTTAAATAATTTATATGAAAAGTAACATCTCAAAATGAGACTTTTTGGCCTCATATATT